AGAGAGAGAGAGAGAGAGAGAGAGAGAGAGAGAGAGAGAGAGAGAGAGAGAGAGAGAGAGAGAGAGAGAGAGAGACGAATGTGAGCGGGGAGGTCAGGGTAACTTCGTAATGCATATTGTTGTATTGCTGTTGACGATCACGACACACACACACACACACACACACACACAATGGATGACTATCCGATGTATGGGCCTTGGGCTTCTCCGGCTCCTTGGGCGGAGCCTTCGGTACCGTGACAGTGAGGAGTCCGTCCTTGCACTGCGCGCCAATTTTATCCACCTCCACATTCTGCGGCAACGTGAAGCGTCGCATGAACTTTCCCGTGCTTCGCTCCATGCGATGGTACTTGGCACCAGGCTCTCCCTCCTTCGTCTCGCGATGACGCTCGCCGCTGATGACGAGTGTGTTGCCTGTGGCCCTTAGGGAGTCAGTCAGTAGGTCAGTGTGTCCGGGTAGGTCTACGTGGTGAGGAGTGGGACCCCTGTCGTGCACCAACACCACGATGGATGACTATCCGATGTATGGGCTACTTGCGGAACCTCTGGCGTCTCCTCTTTCCTCTGGGCTTTTGGCCCACTTTCACGTGTAGAGTAGGACCCACTCGTGGTGGGACTTCCACCACCCCCTACACGAAGGAGGAGGAGGAGAAGATGGCCGCCATTTTGCAGGAGAAGAATGAGAAGGAGGCCAAGAAGGCGGCCTTGAAGGAGGAGCAGGCGGCSAAACTGAAGAAGATAGAGGAATAAATGGCCAAAGAAAAAGAAAGGTTGAAAAAGGAAGAAGAAGAGAAGTTGAAGGAGGTGGATGAAGAAGAGGAAGGACCGCCACTGCAAAGGAGTAGTGGGCAGCCCAGTAGTAATACCGGTGGAGACCTRGAGAAGAGGATATCTGAATGGGTTGCCAACCTGACTGTGGGAGAAGAGGAAGAGGTTAGTATGTACATCCCGCAGGATCAGCAAGAAGCCGCCATGAAGGCTTGGGAGGTAGAGAAAGACCCTCTGAAATGTCAAGCGTTGGAAGACGAGAAGAGGATGGAATGGAAATTAGCGGTGATGCGGGAGAAGAAGAGGAGAATTGACAAGGCAGCGGAGGCGGCAGAGGCCTTAAAGGAAGTGAAGAACATAGAGGCGCAATTAGCCGCCCAACCCGATCTCCCGAATAAGATGCGAGTTATAGCTCGAAGCGTTGCATGCCTGGCACGGGTTCAGGCAGACCAATATGACTTTAGCAGAAGCCAGGACATAGCGGTGCGCTCGATACGGTTGGGCTTTCGAGACTTTGCTCGTGAGCTGGTAGGCGCCGTTGGAGTCGAGGTGGGTCATCGCCTCGACAAGACTGAACGGTTTTGCGCCGGCGCCATTGAAGGCGTCAAGGCGGCAGCTCCCAAGGAGGAGGAAGCACGTCCTCCTCGCCGGGAGCCTGGCAAAGTTAAGTTCCCCGATTCCTACAGCGGGAAGAGGGAGGAAAACTTTGACAATTGGGAGGCCAACGTTAAGACCTATGTGCACTTGCAACAGGTCTCCCTAGATCAGCAAGTCCTAATTGCTATCCACGCACTGAGAGATGAGGCCGCCAATTTTGCAAGGTCCCTAGTTTGCGTTGATTGCTATCCACGCACTGAGAGATGAGGCCGCCATTTTTGCAAGGTCCCTAGTTTGCGTTGCCAACTGTAGTGATGATCCCGTTGCGTACTCCTCATTTACGTCCCTCACCGAATTTCTGAAGTTGCTGCGCGAGCGATTTGCTGATGTCGCTCGCAGTGTCAAGGCCTTAGATAAGCTCCAAACCATCCATTCTCGTAAATGGAAGAGTGCCAGGGTTAAGGGTATAATGGATGAGTTGGTGGCCGTCCCTGACCATGGGGTCACAGAGGGCCAGTTGGTCAACCTCTTTTACCGGGCTATGCCCGAAGCCTTTCGAGGGCAGTTCTTCGCGAAAAGCGAAGACCCTACCACCACTTACGATTCTCTTAGTCGTGAGGTGGTGACTTTTGAAGCAAAGTCAGTGTCTCTGTCCACATTCTGGCACAAAGACTTGGACAGGGGTAAGCAATGGAAAGGCCGCACTATCTCAGGACAGGTAAAGACCAAGGATAGCCTTGTCCTGACTTTAGATGAGGGTARTGTGGATGAGATTCCCTACGACCAGATTGAGTGGGGATTAGAGGAGGCGGACAGCGGTGTGGGTCAGGGGAGATCCTACGCTGCTGTCGCGGCCGGAGGGAGGCCGCAAGGAGGACGAGGCCAGGGCCAAGGGGGCCGGGCCTCAGGGAGTCAATTTCAGGGCGATCAGGGGGGTCGGCGGTAGAGGAGGAAACCGCCAAGCGGGAGGCAGRGGTCAAGGTCCCCCGCAAAACCGTCCTTGGAGGAGGGCTCCCTATAGAATAGGAGGATGGCACCCAGGGCTACCTCAGGGTAGGCCTTGGGAATCTTTGGGTCTGGACCAGGCTTTATGGCAACAACGATTGGACCGGGGCCAGTGCATTTTCTGCGGTGACCCGGGCCATATCATCAAATATTATCCTAAGTATAGAGAAACCCAAACGGCTGCCCCAGGGCCAAAAGGCAGCCGCCGGTAGGGGTAGCAACTGCCCCTACCATTAGGCCATGTGGGGAACATAGCGCTAGCCGGCAGGAGACTCCCACACCACATGTGCCTATGGCAGAGGTTGCAGGCCGGTGTCTAGATAGCTGCCCAGAGACCGCTTGTGTTAGGATCTCTCTAGACACCTCCCTCACAGGCGTGTCCAAAGAGTTGAAAGAGAGGATGCCCGCCTGGGCCAAAATGAAGAAGGAGAATAAAGGGCAGCTTATATTGCTAGATACAGAGATTTTTAGAAGTAGAGTAGGGGCCCTAGTAGACTCAGGGGTCACCCGCCGCTATATTAGTAGGAAGGCGCTGCAGAAGTTTAAGCTGGGACTTAAAGTCCAAAAGCTAGCAGACCCTATAGTTAGTATCCTCGCAGACAATCGTACCATGGTKGTAGAGGATTACGTTGAGGGAGTCCAGGCGTATTTTCGCCTAGAGAAGTATGGGAAAGTGGAAAAGGTCCTCCACTCCCTGACTCTCTTCGTAGAAGATAGCCTCCTATTCGACATTGTTCTGGGAATGGATTGGGGAGAGGCAGCCGGGGCCACGCTCCATTTGAAGGAGCACGAGTGTAGGCTGCTTGGTTCGTCAGGCGAGGCCAAGACTACCCGCCTGTTTCATGTGTCAGGGGCAGAGAATTCCTTGGCGCACTGCTGCCTTAGTGCCCCCTCGTTCACCAGATTGGTGAAAAAGGAGAAACGAGAGGAACAGGTTTTTATTGCCTATGTCAGGCCAGTGACTGAGCCTAAGGAAGAGAAGCCCGTAGACCCTGCTATCGCCAAATTGCTGGAAGAGTTTGAGGATTTAACTGAGCCGCCGACAGGCACGGTGCCGCGGCCCATCCAGCACCGTATTGAGATAGAGCCTGGCAGTAGAACTCCTAAGGGTGCTGTATATAGGATGTCCCCGCGGGAGTTGGAGGATCTACGGAAGCAGTTGGACGAGCTTCTCGAAAAGGGTTAGATTAGGCCCAGTTCGTCTCCTTTTGGAGCCCCTGTTCTCTTTGTCCCTAAGAAAGAGGGAGGGCTGAGGATGTGTATAGACTATAGGGGTCTGAATGCTATTACAGTAAAGAATGCTGAGCCACTGCCTAGGATAGACGATCTCTTAGGTCGAGTGCAGGGGGCGAAGTATTTTTCTAAGATAGATTTGAAGTCCGGATATCATCAAATAGAGGTGCATCCTGATGATCAGTATAAGACAGCCTTCCGGACTAGATATGGGCACTACGAGTTYATAGTGATGCCCTTTGGACTAACCAATGCGCCAGCTACGTTCCAGCGCTGTATGAACGATTTGTTCAGG